TTTTCTTTTTTCTTTTCCTGTGACCTCATCTGAGGATTTACTGACTGAACTTTAGACCTATAACAATGTTAGTAAGATCAAGCTGTGCTGCTTAGCCAGGAAGTAAGGTAGAAAATTAACTATATTAAAGGACGTTTGTTTCTCCTGTAAGGTATATTCAGAGTGTATTTTAAAATTTTATAAGGAATTGGGTCATCAAGGGCTCCTTCCAAATGAACAAAGGATTGACCACTGAGATTATTGTTGTACTCTCTTTATTATAGGAGATTGTGTTTCTAATTAAAACATTATTTACTAAGTTGTTATGGGCCTGTTTCTTGGTAGACATTTAAACCCTTTACCTGTTGTTATGGGCCTGTATCTTGGTAGACATTTAAACCCTTTACCTGATACAAACTACAATTGCAGTGTAGATTTGAGCACATCCAACTACGTAGAGAAAAACTAAACACTTTCTTGCAGTAATGGTTAAAAATAAAATAAAAAAAAAACAATATGAATGTGGATTGGATGTCTAACATGTAAGCTTCCTTCCTGTTTTGAGAGGATGTGGAGTTTTCACGCTGCGATACACGACTCTTCTGCTCTGATCTGAGGCTTGCATGTCTTCAGAGACAGTACATCTGCTGCAGCAGATTAGATCACCATTGTCTGGTTGAAGAGCAAAGCCTAAATGTCCCTGGCTTAGTGCAAATTCCAGATGTGATGTAACATCATGGCCAGGCCCTTTAAGGGAGAAGACATGAGTCCATGTTGGACAGAGTCTGATGCCCTGTCAAGTCAACTGTCAGCCTATGTGAGAGCCAGGGGTAGGCGGGCTCTTTCAGTGTTTGACAGCCCTGTGCCTGACATGCTGATAAAACTCCATGTGACTTGCTGGTGCACGCACACACATAAACACACACAAAAAAATCAAAACAAGGGCGAGTCAGAGGGCATGAAAGAGTTAAATAGACGAGAACAACCAGAAAGAGGAGTGGAAGGGAAAAGAAATGAGAGAAGAGTACACCACTGTTTCCTGTTTGGTCCAGATTAAGAGAGATATTGTTGGTTCGTTGTGTTTGCTATTCACCAATTTTCCTGAAGTATTTGTACGTCTCTCTTATGTCCCCTGTAAACCTTAACCCTTCCAGTACATTCTTTACTATAGGTGTCATTACCTGGGTAACAACGGTTGACTGCGCCTGAGTGTGCCACTTTGGACTGCTTATGTAACGCTCACCTGCTGTAATCACGTGTGTTAAGAGTTTATCACTTTATGCTGCTGGATGATATCATTTTGTTTAGATCAACAGATCTACTTGAGAGCAGAAGCTTTTTTTTAAAACTTGATGATCTCTTTCAATGTAAAGGTGTGCCTTTCCTCAGTATTAATGTCAGAGCGAGTCATGATTTAGTAATGGTGAAGCTCTTGTTAGATCAGACTTGAAGAACACATTAAAGCTACATCGCTGCATTTCAAAACGTTTGAAACTCATTCTTGTCTTAGAAATATTGTCTTGTTTGGGTAATGCCTCAAGGTCATTTTACTGTTTGTTCTGTTCAGAAAAGAGAGACAGAGACAGGTAACACAGTCATGGTGTTGATGTTACAAATTTGTCAGTTGTATTGTCATAGCTAACAGAGGCAGGGTTTTACGAACGCTACAGCAGAGCAGACACTCGCACTTTGAATGTTTGCCTTTTCCCTTGCAGGTTGTCTCCAGTCAAACATTCCACATACGCAGTCATATTTATTGTAAAGTGTTTCCATTTTATTGATCAGATCACTTTAAGAAAAACTAGGCAACACATTTCTTACCATGGGACAAACAGAGGCAGGGCTAATGAACCTGTCTAAACAGTTAAATGACAAATGCTGTATTGGTCATTTTCTTCAGGGTCGATGGCTAACCATATCACTCCCAGTTAAGAATAAATCAAGTATTAAAATGGGTTCAGCTCCATGAAAATATAGTGTTATCGATGTTGTAAAATATTCCTTTTTCCTGACATAATGTAAGTGGAAGATGACAGGGAATCATACTGTTGTGCTACTGATAGGTGTGGAGCTGTATGTTACTTTATCTGACTCTGGTCTTCACACTGAGCCTTATCCAAGTCAATAAAACTTGTCCATGACACAATCATTTCACCTGAGTGTACACTGTATGTCAATTACAACAAACCGCTGACAGTTCTCTTTCCTCCTGCACCCACTCACCCCCTTTCAAAAGCCACAAAAGATGATGGTTCACACAAAATAAACATTTTTTAATCATTTCTCCAGCAATAATGACTCTAAATGAGCTTTTCATGTTTGAAATTCACTGCTTAATAATGTCCACATTAAGATTTTGACTGTGCCCTCTGCTGAACGACCTTATTCCAGCTTCTGTGTTTTAAGCGTTTCCTGCAATGACCCAAGTGATTAGTCAATTGTTTGAGAATATCATTGTTTAGAAGTTAATTAATCATTAACTTTTTTGATTAAGGTCTTTTTTTTACCTATGCAGCACAAGTAACAAATGAATATGTTCTGGTTTTACTTGTAGGTGGCTGTAAAGATTATTGATAAGACGCAGCTCAACTCTTCCAGTTTGCAGAAGGTAGGTCTGACAGATGCTAACACACATACACATAAACCAAACCAAACCTCAGACTTTCTTATACTTCACTTGGAAGTCGTTCTCCATGTGCTCTCTTTCTCTTTCTGTGCCTTCCTATCTTTTTTTTTCTCTCCCCTTCCCTCGCTGCATCCCTCCCTTCCCTTCCCTTGTCGTTCTTTCTTTCCCTCCTTTTTTGAAGTGGTCTACTTTTCAGTGAGAGTTTTAATTACAGGAAACAGGCTGCAATTACTTCCTTTGATCATGGCAGGGTGGAGTCTGTCCACTTACACGCACACACTGCCCATGTATGGTTACACACGGAATTTACGCACACATTTTACCCAGAAAGCTTTCATTCTATTGCAGACATACGGCACAGAGTTGCTTATTCAGACACATGAAAGAGCATCGTGATCAAGTAGTGATCAAGTAGTAGATCAACATACGTGATACCAAAGCTGGTGTGTGTATGGTCGAGGTTTTGGAGAATCTGTTACAGTAATTTATAAAAACCTTTTGATAGTATGTCGATGTTATTCCCAGCTCCTTTCAATAAAGGAGGCAAGATTCTCCACCGCTCTTTTGTAACCTTAATTTTTTAAACGGCCCATGATTTGTTATTTTTGGCAGAAACTGATGTGTTAAGAGATAATTAAGCAATAGAAATCCCATAAAACACATAATAACAAATTAGAATAAGTGAGCATTGTGATTTGTCTAGTTTGTGTTTGTGATGTAGTTTCACAGCTATTCACAGCTACACAGCTACACAGTAATAAATTTCCTGATATAATTGTTGATGGAGTTCCTTTGTAAACCCAGAATGCCGACTGTTAACAGATGGGGGTTGACTCAGTAGTTAAACAGGGCAGTGGTATAGACCTGGAGCTTCAGAACATGGTCCGTGTGAAAGGTAAACAGACAATTAAAGACCCAAATGCAAATATCTATGTTAGCTTAGGGCGTGTGCCCTCACACTGCCTTTTTTTCTCGAGCCACTTCCTTCTCCTTTGACCGTTTTGTGTTCTCGCTGCTAAGTGAACCTGAATTTAGTTTCTAATTTGATATTTCCTTGGCAAAAGGTTGCTGTGTGTGTGTCTGTGTGTTAATGATGGAGGATGATTGAAAACAATCATTGTTAAAAATTAATATTAATAATAATACTGACTTAAAACATTGCAGGTAATCCCCTGTTGCCTCATTCTCACCACAAAGGGTTGAATGTTAACACAATAAAAAAAAAATCCGAGGCAGTTATTTTCCATGTCCTCCCCTGGACAGGCTCTGCACTTCTGGCATAAAACCATAAATTCATTTGCACAGGAAACATAAAATGTAAGACAAAAAAAAGACCAGCTCACACCTGATGTGCGTTTGACAGAGCTCTGTGTGGTTTGTTTCCAACAGCTCTTCAGGGAGGTGAGGATCATGAAGATGTTGAATCACCCCAACATAGGTGAGTCATACTATAACGTCATTTTTCTCCCAAATAGCTCACTTGAGACCTAACTTATAATTCTGTTATATATTCAAAGTAAATGATTTCAATCCTTCTTTTATTTTTATCTTTTCTATTATTTAAATATTGTTTTTTTTTTCTGTTCTCTCCACTTCACTTTTTCCTGGTCGTCATTGTCTTTTCTTTTTTTTCCTGTATCTCCAGTCAAGCTCTTTGAGGTCATAGAGACAGAGAAGACTCTGTACCTGGTAATGGAGTACGCCAGTGGAGGTAAGTGTGTGTCACTGCTGAGCTCTAGCTCTTCAAATAAATTGTTTCCCATCAAACATAAATATGAAGCTGCCTCTCTTAGATATGCAGTTTTGAGAGGGTCTTGAGTTGTCCTAAAAACCTCATGTCTTGTTTTCCATCAAATCTCGTTGGCGCTTATCCTTAATGGACAGATTAGTGACACGTCAAGGGCAAAACCTTGTTCAATGACTCGTTGATCCATCACTTGTCTTGGCATACGGCTGAATCAGGTTCCATCACTAAATCTCCTGTCGTCCTCTTTCTATCGACTCCCAGGAGAGGTCTTTGATTACTTGGTGGCCCATGGCAGGATGAAGGAGAAAGAAGCCCGTGCCAAGTTCAGACAGGTGTGTGCTGCATTAAATACAATTGTTTCCACAAAGCGTTACATGTATAATTTTTCTAATTTTGTTGAGGAATAAAAATATGTTTTGACACTGTCCCTTCTTTTGCTTTCTTCTTCTCTCTCATTAATATTTCCACCCTCCAGATTGTGTCAGCAGTGCAGTATTGCCATCAGAAGTGTATAGTACACAGAGACCTTAAGGTGAGAGAACATACACGGGCTAAATACAGCTCATCTCCCTCCCTTTTTTAGACAGCCATGTGCATATGTGATATAACGTGTGAGACACGTGCACTTCCGGACATCATTTGCACATCTACCGCATGTCTTTGCTCCTCTCCCATTGGACGATTTTCTCTCTGTGTCCGCCTTTTTCTTCCAGTAATGTGGTCACATTGTCAGTGCCAAAAATTAAATCCAACACACACTCACTGATCCAGTGGTTCCAAGTCATTTTGTTCACAGTATTATAAATCCTCTTATTTTGCCAGAGGGCAGACCTGTGGACAGTACATTATCATGATTACTGATGCATTGACCCAAAAGGAAATCTCTCTCATCACCCTTGTTCTCCCATTCAAACACATTTTTTAGTTTTTCAGTTACCTTTATAAAAGCCAGGATCGATAAATGTGTTCTGCTCTGTACACGGGCAATGATGATTGATGACAGTTGTCCCTCACAAAGGGAAAGTCCACAGGGCAGTCATTTCTCATTATTGTACTCTCCTTCACACTATCCCAATCACCCTCTGTCTAATGGGTTAGAGTGTAGAATCCAGGACAGCATTAACTGGCTGGGTGCCTCACCGCAAGAGCAGGTTTTGATGATCATGCATTTTCACAGCATGCGGGAATTGTTCTCTCTGGACCCCAGAAGGGAAGGTTTGTGCAGCTGCATATGTTAATGTCTCCTCGTTTATTCCGATGTCGGCACCAATTAAAATTAGTAATTGAGCAGTCTTTTAAATTAAATTGGATTACTTTGGGTTAGACCTGGCAGTGATGTGGGTCTTGATTTTCAACAGCACGTTCACAGGCTAAACGGAGAATCTGAAAAGTCGTCAAAGCCTGTGAAAAGGAGAGCGCACCTGTTGCTAGGCAACCCCCGCCTCCATGCACACTGGTTGACTTAAAGCTCAGGGATATACAGAGACAAAAAAAGAGGGAGAGAGGGAAAGCAGCTATAGTAGCTTCCTTTGCTCATTGTGTTCTACACGTAGGCCCCCAGGCTATCACTCTGAAATCCCTCACTCATACCCACGACCCAGTTTCCACGAGAAAGGGTCAATTTTTGCCAGATCATTAGTAATGAGGTGGAGTGTGTTATTACCTTCCTTACCTGAGAATATCTTGAGGTGTATTTCCACTGCAGGGACTTTGTGCTGGTTCCTTGGTGTGAAAATCTCACCATTGACCAACTAGACCTCTGCTGCAATCACTTTTCTGACAAACAATCCTACTTCTCTAGTAGATGAACTTATGCTGCAGTTCTGTGTATGTTGTTGACACATTTCAAACATGTGGTACATAATGATTTTCACCCTTATAAATTTACTGTCTCCAGTTCTTGTCGTCTAAGCCACCCGCTCTGTACCTCATAATTATAACCCATCTGTGTCTGTCTGTCTGCAGGCAGAGAACCTGCTGCTAGACGCAGACATGAATATTAAGATAGCCGACTTTGGCTTCAGCAACGAGTTCACCATTGGGAACAAGTTGGATACGTTCTGCGGCTCACCACCCTACGCAGCTCCGGAGCTCTTCCAGGGCAAGAAGTACGACGGGCCCGAGGTGGACGTCTGGAGCCTGGGGGTCATTTTGTACACACTGGTCAGCGGATCACTACCCTTCGATGGACAGAACCTCAAGGTCAGGGAAAGGCGAGCGAGCCTTTGTGTGTGTGTGTGTCTGTGTGTGCTAATGTCTGTTACATAAGCAGCTATCTGTATTCCGTGGGTGGTTGTACTGTAGTATTTGTCGTTCTGGTTTCTGTTTCAGCTGCCCTGAAGAATGTGTTAGAGGAACTGAACTTAAGTAACATGTTAACGTTTTTAAATATCAGTTAATGGTTGTTAAGTACTGCGTATTCACACTGTGAGTCCAGATGACTCACTGTGGAGACACATTTTGGGTGTGATGTAATGACATTGATATGCCTGTAAAAACTATCCTGTCCGAAACGCCTTTGCACCGTCTTGCTGTGCACTTTTGATTAACACCCACCTTCCCTGGTGTTCTTTTTAATCAACAGATTACTTCATTTTCCTCGGAAAACCTTTTCTTTTCTGTGTTAAGGCTGTTACCAAAGAATTTTTAATATCTCAGTTTCATTGGATATGTCCAGTTCTTAAAAATGTGAACTAATTTAAAAGAAAAAAAACATGAATTTACACTTTAGCATATAAGAAATGGAAAACGTGCCTTTTGTTGGCATTGGGGTTTTTTTTTTGCCACATATTAATGAAAATGGTATTGGTAACAAACATGTTTTCTATGATGAAATTTCTTTGGGTCATGAATAAACCAGAAATGATGTTGTGATAATTTGTTTTAATGATAAAAGTGTAGTTAATGTAAAGCCTGCAACTTTAGCATTTAAATGGCTTTTAGGTTAGTGAATGGGGCACTTGTTTAACAAAACTATTAATCATTTGTGGGTGTGACCACAACCAATGCTTACCATTCATAGATGTGACCATGGCCCCACACTATAGTTTACTCTATAGTTCCCGTAGTTTCAAAGCGGGACTCATTTTACATTTTAAGAAAATCAGAGTTTAAGAAGTGTCTCATTTGTTTGTTTATTTGTTTTTCCACACATGAGCCATAGGACTTGGTGGCGTGTATAGGAGCAGTAGACAGAGGTTGTTTATTTCTGTGATATATATATGTCACTGCACAAATGTGTTGATAATCATCTTTGCCACCATAGCAGTGCTGATCAGAGCAACAATCTTGTCTCAAGAGAGCGGTTTTCACAGAATTGTTATTTTAATCCGATCTAACATGTAATCATAATCTGCGTGCAGACTGATATGATACTGATGTTTGTGGGTTGATACATGACAGAAGAGAGTTAAAGATTTTACCAGCTGTATACAAATGAGATGTGAATGAATGTTCAGTATTTGCATAAATATCATAAAGAGAAATAATTAGACTTTTAACCCCAGAGGCCATTAGCAAAATTGCTTTACAAAACACAAAACACCTAAGGTTGTGATTTTTTTCTTCGACAAAACACCTAAGGTTGTGATTTTTTTTCCCTTTCCAGGAATTGAGAGAGCGTGTGCTCCGAGGGAAGTACAGGATCCCTTTCTACATGTCTACCGACTGTGAGAACTTGCTCAAAAAGTTCCTCATCCTGAACCCCTTGAAAAGAGGCAGCCTGGAGGTAAACGCTTTAAAACAAGCTTAGATGACAAACACATGACAATGGCACGGCTCAATGGTAGATATTGTTTTCATTTTGAGAGACACAAGGTTAACTTTAGATTTTAAAATATGCAGAGGAAATGATTAATGGTTTTGCTTATTTTAGTAAATATTGGATTCTCTGATTAAAAATAGTATTTAGTACTTGTTGTGCGTCACTCTGTACCTGAACCCGTTTTACCAGCTACCTGTGACTTTGTTGCCTGACCGTTAAGTGCTTTTTAAAAGTGTGGTAGAGATGTGTTAGACTGGATTCATGACTCACTCACAGAACGCGTTTCACCTGAGGAGAATGGATTGTTTCTCCAGAGATGGAAAAATCTATTCAAAGGCAGCTGTTGACATCTTTGCTTCCATTTTTCATAACAGTTGACTTTTAATCCCACAAGTTTGATTGTGCACTTTTAAGTAGAAGCCACAAAGAGTATGTGATGGAAACTCAAGCTCTGGTGTTAGAATTCCCCCCTGACTGTTTCATTTACACCTGCCGTAGAGTTGTGTTCAAATCAATGGTGTGCGTGTTTTTGTCAGGCTTTCGCTGAACTAACATCTGATCACACAAAGATTCACAGCTACTTTGTGGATCGTTATTGTTTTATAAAATTATTACTTGACAGACTTAGTTTATTTTCATGTTTTTGTGTCTAGAGACCTGATGAATGCAAGTGTCCACTTGAACCAAATCGAGTTCTGAAGTTTAACCTTGATTAAAATGGTTTCTGAAGTCTTATGTGAATATAGGACTGCTGAAATGCACAGTGTTTAGAATGTTGAACCACAGTTTTACCACATATGTGTAAACTGTTGCATCATGAGTGAAGGCAGCCTTGATTTGTTTTTTAAGGTGTGTGGTAGGAAGTCAGTGTATAGTGAGACCTTGGTTATTCCAGTCTAACCTGCAGGGGTTTTCTGAAGGCCGGTGAAACATGTTCTGCTGCCAAAGATGGAATGAATGAACTCACGACAGGTGGAAATGAGATTTTAGTGCCTCCTAGTGTCTTTACTGCCTGAGTGAAGTGGACAAAATGAACTGCCTGTGATTGAAGACATTACAGATAAGTCTCAAATGACTGAACTGTGACAAATGTCCCAGGTCATAAATACTCAAGTGAAATATTTAAGACCAGCACTTTTAGTTTAGCAGAGGACAGAATAAAAAAATAATGCAGTTAAAAAACATTTTCATACAACCAGTGTGTTTCTATACAGTAATTGATTCAACGCAGCCGTTGAACTAACCTGGTTAAGTGCTTTAAAATAACATGAACAATGTTGTCTAATCTCTTCTCCTGTGCTTTTTGACATGTCACATTTTTCTGTGTCTGTGTGTCTGTTTGGTTTGCTCCCAGCAGCAGATAATGAGGGACCGATGGATGAATGTGGGCTACGAGGAGGAAGAACTCAAACCTTACATTGAACCCCAGCCAGACTACAAGGACCCAAGGAGGACAGGTACATATGGTATTTTTCATCCCATACTCATTAGCACAGTTGTGAGAATGTTACTTTCAACACTCACAACAGCACATTCTTTGACAACATACTGTCATTCCTGTATAAATCAAAAAATGATATTTTTTTTTATCTGTGTGCGTCCAGATATCATGCTGCAGATGGGATTCTCCCAGGAGGAAATCCAGGACTCACTGGTGAACCAGAAGTATAATGATGTGATGGCTACATACCTGCTGCTGGATTATAGGAACTCTGAGGTTCACTGCTCTTTTCTTCCACTCATACACACTATACACATTTGCCTAAGCTAACAGTGACAACTGAACAATGCTGGCATCTAACCAACCTACAAATATCCAACATCAAGCCCCACTATAGTCCAGAGCAGCTATGGTTGGTTTGTTGACGATGGATATTTTATGGTCTTTTGGACATTAAACCATAAAATATCAATCTCCTTTGGCTTTTGACTTCTCCAGTTTTCACTGAAAACATCGGAACAATAATGTTCTGTTTTCTCAGTGTTTGACATTTACAAGTGTGATGTTTTGTGTGACATGTTTTTTGTTTTTGTTGTCATTTGTACTTGCTTCTACCATAATTTTAATATCAATCATTTCTTCTGCCTTAGCTGGACGAAGGGTGCATCAAGCCTCGGCCAGGAGCTGATGTAAGCAACATAAATGCCCCCTCCCCACCTCACAAAGTAAAGCACGACCACATTGTCACACAACTCTCTACACTTAGAACAGCAGCACGACCACATCCACTTTTCCTACGTTTTGAATCCTCCTTCATTTTGTCGAGTCTTTTCTTGTAGCGTCACACAACTCTCTACACTTAGAACAGCAACAGTAAACACAGAATCCTGGCTTAGTGCCTGAATCCTAAATTGCAAATGTTTTGGTGACCATTTGACCATTGTGACTTGTTTTTTTTTTTTTCCTCTTAAGGTACAGCGCAGTGTGTCGTCCAACCAGAAGCCTCAGAATCGCCGAGACCAGGGTGAGTTTGGTGTGTGTCACTAGGGAAGGGGGAGACACAGGTCTGTCAAAGAAAGAGAGAATGTCCCTGTAGAAAAGATTCAGGTTGGGTCTTTATAAACACTGTAGATACCGGTCTACATGTTAAAAAAGGAAGTGATTAAGAAGAGTCTGGTACTCTGCATGTAAACAATCAAGTTCACACTGTAAGGCAAGCATTAACAGTCGGAATCACACACACGACAAATGTTTGTTTACCTTGTTCATTTGCAGTGTAGTTGCCTATTGCCCCTCCTTCCATCACCTTCATGTCTTTGTAATTGTTTTTTGCAAAATAAAGTAGTTTAAGAAAGAAGAATGATATAGTGTGTAGTGAAATACACTTGCCAGTAAAGTGATTTTTAAGAAGCTTGATCCACAATGCTGGATCAATGCCGCTAGACAGTTTACTCGTCGCATAAATAGATTAAAAAGCTTTCAGGTTAGAGATGTTTCTAAAAGCAAAGGCTTATTAACAACACAAGTAGACGGATGCAGATTAGAGGAAGCAATAAAACGGTAATGGGTTAAATGGAACAAGCTGTGGCCATTCTGATGCACTCCTGCCCCTCCCTCCTACCCCCAGGTTCCTCCTACGCAAAGAGAGGTCAAGGAGACAACCGGACTGCAGTCGAGGATTCTGGCAGGAAGGGTTCATCAGGCAGCTCCACTACCAAGGTGCCGGCCAGTCCGCTTGTCCCCTCTGATCGCAAGAAGAGTGCCACGCCCTCCACTGTGAGCTCAAACACCAAGGATGATATATTTTATATTGGAAAATCAACATGGATTTTGAAGATCTTTTTTTTTCTCAATATATTTAACATTGTTTCTGTTCTGTCCTTGTTCATATATACAGAACAGCATCTTGTCCACCAGCACTGCTCGAAGTCGGAACTCTCCACTGTCGGAGAGCGCCACGCTGGGCCAGGGGATCCAGAACGGCAAGGACAGGTACCCACATACACACAAAATCACAAAAAAAGGAAAATGCTTTCTAAAGGCAAGGACAACTATGCAGTCGTTCTCATTTACACACACGTCGAGCTACTGAGAGGCAGCGTTGCTTTTTCACCAACACACCCTTGATAACAAACACATTCACTATGGTTTGTGAATGAAGCCGTGCCCCAGCTGTCTCAGTGGCTGAATCCCAGACCTTGGCTGGTCCTCTCCAGAGCTCTGCCAGCTGGCTTAGGGACGCCCACGACTCAGGGCGGGGGCCAGGCCTCCTGGATGAAGAAATCAGGCTCCCTTGAGTATTTAGGCCAAACCTCGAGTAGATTACAGATTACCAGAGATGGTCTGATGGAGGCCTGCCATTCAGGGGGAAGCAGGCGTTCAGTTGATACACAGAAACACACATTCTCACATGCAGGAAGATGGAGCACAGTGGCCCCGGTCTGTTCTTCAAATCCTAACCCATTTTTCTTTCTCTTTCCACCTTTGAGCTAAATCAATTTTACAGCTGATTAACACATAATGACTGTGGCATATGTTCAAAACAGCTTGGAATTTTTTTTTTTAATTTACGCCCAAAAACTTTTTAATGAAATTTTACTGCTGTATTATACCTTGAAGTTCTATCTAAACTAATTAGCTCAATATTAGGACACATCTTATTCAAGTAAGATTATTGAAAACTATTATTATTATTTTTTAATGAGCTAAAGAACATTTTTTTCTTAGTAGCAAGGCTGTTGTCCTATTTTTAATCAGCTAAAGAACATTTCTTTCTTAGTAGCAAGGCTGTTGTCCTATTGGCCAACGTTCCTCTATTTGCTCATTGTGGACTTTGGATTTTCTAATTAAAGCCATAAAAAAACACTATTTCAGGCGGTGTCTGTAACTCCCAAATCCAGTCCTACTTTGTCCCCCGGGAGTCAGTTTGTCCTTCACATCACATCCATACATAAAAACCCACGTGTCACTCACGCTTTAACCAACCATTTGCTTTTGTGTTTTTTGTTGTTTTTTTTGTTTTGTTTTTTTTACATTCTACTTTAGGCCAAGCCATAATTCCTACTGTGATGCAGCAGTCATTATCACTACTGCTTTGTTACTTGTCATGTATCAGTCTCAACAGACCACATCATTCCCACTGAAGTGTCCTGTGTCAAATATCACAAACTAAATTTAGTGCCCAGACTCTGTAGTCTGATGTGGATTTGAGGAGATTGTGTTGGTAAGCACTGTATGGTAGTGAAGTGGTCATTTGAGGCAGCATTGCTTTTTTTTTTAATACTGTGGGTGTGTTAGACATGGTAGATCCTGCTTACGTAGTGGTTTTCATCTGCTGTATTTAAAAAGAGACTTTTAATTTTGTTATCATTAATGCTTTAAAGTTGGGCTACTACTCCTGTAAAACCCTCACCCCCACCCCTGACTTTTCTTTTCTGTGTCTGAGCTCCTGTCTCTCTGGGCCTAAAGTCCCTCACATTTTTTCTCCCTTTTCCTTTTTCTTGATATATTTTTCTTTACCCTCTCCTCTTTCTAAGGAGATTATGCAGACTTATGATGGAATTTTAACTCTTAGTGGCGCAACTTGGTCCCTTTACTGGGCTGCTAATAGGCTTACACATACACAAAAATGAACACACACACACACACACACACACATACATACGGACCACATACAACACTCAATGACACACAGGCTTTAACATACACGTCACACACACTCACACCATTGCCACACACTGGCCCTGTACTATGGATGTATGTTATTTTTCCATCACTAGCTGCACTAATCCCCATCA